GCAAACTTCTTGAATTGAAATTAGAACAGGGTGAGAAATATGCATCCATACATTAAATTAGGTCACCGGGAGGGGAACTAGTTTTTGAAATAAATAAATAAATTATTTCAGTGTTTTTACCAAGACTTGTATTCTCCTACTGGAACATTTGAAGTCAGCAGATGTCATACTTTTTTGAATGCCTTAAATATGCTGTGTGTGGAATATGAATAGTGCACTCATATCTAGCTACCAAAGAAAGGCAAAGACCAGACTGAATGTGGCAACTATAGGCCTATTTCTTTAATAAACTATGATCTAAAGATGTACTCAAAAGTGCTGGCCTTAAGATTGGATAAGTATATGGGGAAGCTTACACATTTTGACCAAACAGGGTTCATGAAGGGACGCTTAGCTGCGGATAATATACGCTGTTTGCTCCATATTATTCATCATTCTCATGAGGCAGATTACCCATCTGCAGCTCTATCACTAAACACGGCAAAAGCGTTTGACACAATCAACTATATTTATTTATGGATGGCTATGGATAAATTTGGTTTGGGATCCAAGTTTATAGGCATGGTTCTATATAGAAACCCCTCAGTGATGGGGCTTACACTCTGATCCCTTTGCAGTTTATAGAGGAACACGTCAGGGTTCACCTCTCTCTCTTGCCTTATTTCTATTGAACCACTAGCACAATATTTCAGACAGCATCATGTTGAACACCTATTGAAATGTAAGGGTCAAGGCATGTGATATATTTGTTTGCAGATTATATTATCTTGTATATGTCAGACTTCTAGAAATCCCTCAATGCCTTACCACCCGTATTTGATGAATCTGAGGCTATATCTGGTTATAAAATTAACTGGGACAAGTCTGCATTAATGCCACTCAACAACATGGCCAAAAAGGTTGCAATACCTTCTGTGATCCCTGTAAAATCAGAGTTAACTTATTTAGGCATAAATGTTAAGACATTACTCTCTGAAATGATCAAGAGAACTATGAAACAATACTCAAAGGTGTATAGCGGAACCTTGCCACTTGGGGCAAAATGTCAGGTTCCTTATGTCCTCCCTCGAATGAATTTTATTAGCATGATACTTCCGCTGCCAGCTCCAACTGACTATTGGGAAAGAGTAGATGTAATCTTATGTAAGTTTATATGGGATGGGAAACACCCTAGAATACGCGCCTCCACATTACAACGTGCCAAGGATGATGCTGGACTTTCACTACCAAATTTCAAACTGTACCATCAAGCTTTCCAATTGCGTCCTCTGAAAATTTGGTTAGACTCATCATAACTAACATTCTGGTGTGACGTTCAGGCTCCGCCTACCGGCTCCATTTCTCACTCACCTCATCACTCAGCAATTAACGACATTGGTCTCACCTGTATCTGCCACTACTTAAACCCTGCTCACTCACTCCTGCCAGAATGTCTCCAGCCAACTTGTGAGTACTTCCAGCGTTATCTATTCTGCTTGCCTGCCTGATACGACCTGTCTGACTCCGTTTTCCGAACTTGCCTGATCCTTGTCTGCTTCGTCTGCCTGCCTGAGCTCTGCCTCGTCAGTCTCTGTGCTCTGCCTGCCTGCCCGTGCCCCCGACCCAGCCTGTCTGACTCCAAGTTCCCGTCTGCCCCTCCGGACTGCTCCTCTGGCTTCGACCCTCGCTCTGTTCTGGACCACGAATTGGATTTCCCCTTGGCTGTGTTGCTGGACTCTGATCACAAGTTGCCGAACCCTGACTGCCCTGACCATGCCTACCGGAGATCCCTGTTTGTCAATAAAATCTGTTAACTGACCGTCCTGACTCAGGGTGTTTTTGGGTCCGCATAACAGTTCGTAACACCAGGAGGGAGATTCAAGAAGGCCTGGTGCATTCTATAAGGCTTCAAGATGTATTATTCTCAACTTTGTCAAAAAACAAACATATTGACTTTGGTCCTATAACACAGTATACAATTAGAAATTTGAGAGGAATAGAAAAACAGGTTAGATGTGACAAAGCACACACACACTCTCCTCTCTGGAATAATTATGGTCTGACTTATGGAAAGATGCTCTTTCTATCTCAGTCATGGGCTTCTTGTGGTATTCATATGCTGGGTGATTCCTAAGTTTTAATTTTTTCTCTATCTCCAGTTGCGGTCAGCACCATTATGGGGTACCATGGGACTCAAATGTGCAAATCCACCCTGTTATCTATAAATTGCTGATTTCTCCAAACAGGGGATTTGTCACCTTTATATATCAATGGCTCTTGATATCATCCTACTCTATCATTCCTATAGTGGCTAAGTGGGAAAGCGATTTAGAGACAGATTCTATAGACTGGGAAGGGGTTTTCAGTGCATCAAAGAACCTGAATCACCAGTTGATTAATTTCAAGTTTTGTCACAGGGCGCATGTGGAGTGGGCGTGGTGCTCAACTGCAGGGGGGAGGTGGGGAAAAGGCTCAAGTGAGCAGTGCCAGGGTAGGTGATTAGGCACACCTGGAACCAGTTGGCTAATCACTCTCCCCTCTGTAAAAAGAGTAGCGTGCTGGACCTGGGGGGGACTGAATTTGGAGAGAGGGTCCTGCTCTGGCAGTTTGCCTGTTGGCAAACTGCCAACAGGCAAACTGCCTACAAGCAGAGGGCCCAAGCCGGGCGTGCGTGTGCTTGTGTGTGAGAGAGTGTGTGTGCGTGTTGCACACATGCTCTGAAATAAAACCTGTTGAAACCAACGAATCCTGGTCTCTGAAGACTCAGTCGGGGCACCCACGGTGGCACGATTGCCACAGCGTACTGGACGCCCATCGATAGGTTCCATGCGAAGCACACCTACACAACAGCCTATGCTGCAGTCTATGCAATAAAGATATTCCAGGTACCTATAAATATATGGTTTGTTATTGTGAAGAGGTTAAGTCTTTTTTTTAAAGACTAACTTTTAATTTATCTGAATTATTAGAATTAGAGATTCCATTACAACCAAGTTTACTGTTACCGAATGACGACTCACAGTTTGAATGTACAGAGAAACATCGAAAAGTGTTGCCCGCAGGCCTAACAGCAGAAAAAAAACTAATTGTTCAGAGGTGGCTCCCCTTACACAAGCTTCCTATTAAAAAATGGCTGTTATACTTTCAAGATGTTACAACAATACAAATGTGGGAAAGAACTGCAGAGGGAGTTACAGACTTGCTGGCAAATCACGCACAATGATATCTCTCACATGCTTTGTCCTTTATATATATATATATATATATATATACAGTATATCTATCTATCTATCTATCTATCTATCTATCTATCTATCTATCTATCTATCTATCTATCTATCTATCTATCTATATCAGCACCCCAGGCCCAGTCCCAGAAACCCCAACCCATGCCTGAGCAGACCAGCCACCCGGTAAAGCTCTGGGAGCCACTGCACAAGGGCCCCCGAGGGACTTCACTCCATGCCACAAGACGGTTCCATCAGTGAACCACCAAATCCACCAACAAGCGCAGACAGCATGGACCAGAATTAATTAAATGTAGCCAATGTTGGGAAAAGGCAGACATAATGTCCATGCTAATATCTAACATTTTCGAAACTGATTAATACTGAGATTTTTGGTTTTGCTTTCCAGTTCTTGAGAATTTTTCCTGCGATACATAACACACTGAGGACCATGTGAGCTGACTTCCTCTTTATGTTGATGTAATTTAAATCACCCAATACGCACAGTAAGGGTGTGAAGAAATATATTTTTTACTGTTTTTGGGGTGGAGAAACTTAAATATTCTGCTACCCTTATAGGGAGTTGCAAGTAAGTTGTTGTTATTAAACCCTCCTCTGTACAAACATTGCACTTTTAGCATCCTTTTTGGCAGTGGGAGAGAACCAGAATAACCGGGGGGGGGGGGGGGGGGGATGCATACATGGGGAGAAAATGCAACCGTGATCATAAAAACTCCACAAGATGCTTGTACTACAAAGTGCAAAATGTGTGGTACCCTGGATTTTCTCACAACAAAATGGTTAATTCTTTACTGGGGAGTATCGCCATAAAAAGTTCTGCACCTGATCTGCACCTGATCAAAAAAAATATTTTGAGATTACACATTTGCACCATGTAAATCATCCTCTCTAAAACAACCAGCTCTCTTAGAATTTTTTTTTAAAGATATCAAATTATTCTGATTGTCTCATCACTTCTTTCTCTTTCAGAATTGAACTGAACTGCTTTGAAAGCAGTTGTATAAGAAATTCCTCAGAAGAAAAGAATGCCTGTGGCCTAAAACATACACTGAGTACTCAAAAGTTTGTCCCAGCTCCCTTTGAATGACTTGAAGAGATTGACTTAATGTGTTATCATACATTTTGAATCCTTTCACCAACACCAAATTAAATAAATAATACCTGGATGTTCGTACTCAAAACTGTAACATATACTACTATACAATAACTATAGCATATTCTATAGCGTTTTCAGATTTAGATTACTTTGGAGCTGTCGGATTTATCTGTGATTTAATATGAAAATAATACCTCATCTTCAACACAAACATAACAGAAGATCATTATGGTTTTTGGGAGGTGTTCCCACCATGACAGATACTAAAACCGACTGGAAATGCAACACTGAAGTTGTGTCAACAAAAAGCTTAAGTCTTATAGAGTTTTCACTTAGATGTTGTCACATAGCGGGCAGTAGCACCAGAGCCAGTAACTAAATAAATCTCAACAAAGTGATGCAGATTGTTTTGTGTTAAGGGTTTAACACAACTACACAGGTGTTTTGAGCAATTTTAGAATTTCTGGTTTAAGAACAGACTAAAGAACTGTTTCATGCTTGAGATGCCACATACTGATATAAAGGATACATTTGTAAAGTATTCCCAATGTTCAGTAAAGGTTTGAATTAATTTTGTCTTTGGGCACATAGTTAATTGTCTCTGCACCCATTAATGACTATGTTTTTTTTTTCAATCTAAATGTAATATCCTCTGGCTCTTCTTTTTTCATGCAGGCACCAGTCTACTTCAGGAAGTAGTTTATCTAGTGAGCCAGGGAGCAGACCCTGATGAGATTGGTCTTATGAATATTGATGAGCAGCTACCCGTTTTAGAATACCCTCAACCTGGGCTGGACATCATCCAGGTACAAAGATGTTACTATTTTTTTAACAGTGTATAGGTACTTTAGCCAAGTTTGTACTAACTGAAGTCTGAGCCATATCAGGCATATACAGGGGTTGGACAATGAAACTGAAACACCTGGTTTTGGACCACAATACTTTATTAGTATGGTGTAGGGCCTCTTTTTGCGGCCAATACAGCGTCAGTTCGTCTTGGGAATGACATATACAAGTCCTGCACAGTGGTCAGAGGGATTTTAAGCCATTCTTCTTGCAGGATAGTGGCCAGGTCACGAGGTGATGCTGGTGGAGGAAAATGTTTCCTGTGTGTATTGGTGCATTGTCATCCTGATACACGGCACCTCCTCCAGGATACAATGTTTGAACCATTGGATGCACATGGTCCTCCAGAATGGTTCGGTAGTCCTTGGCAGTGACGCGCCCATCTAGCACAAGTATGGGGCCAAGGGAATGCCATGATATGGCAGCCCAAACCATCACTGATCCACCCCCATGCTTCACTCTGGCCATGCAACAGTCTGGGTGGTGCGCTTCTTTGGGGCTTCTCCACACCGTAACTCTGCCGGATGTGGGGAAAACAATAAAAGCGGACTCATCAGAGAACAATACATGTTTCACATTGTCCACATCCCAAGATTTGCACTCCTTGCACCATTGAAACCGACGTTTGGCATTGGCACGAGTGACCAAAGGTTTGGCAATAGCAGCCCGGCCGTGTATATTGACCCTGTGGAGCTCCCAACGGACAGTTTTGGTGGAAACAGGAGAGTTGAGGTGCACATTTAATTCTGCCGTGATTTGGGCAGCCGTGCTTTTATGTTTTTTGGATACAATCCGGGTTAGCACCCGAACATCCCTTTCAGACAGCTTCCTCTCGCGTCCACCGTTAATCCTGTTGGATGTGGTTCGTCCTTCTTGGTGGTATGCTGACATTACTCTGGATACCGTGGCTCTTGATACATCACAAAGACTTGCTGTCTTGGTCACAGATGCGCCAGCAAGACGTGCACCAACAATTGGTCCTCTTTTGAACTCTGGTATGTCACCCATAATGTTGTGTGCATTGCAATATTTTAAGGAAAACTGTGCTCTTACCCTGCCAATTGGACCTTCACAGTCTGCTCTTATTGGTTCAATGTGCAATTAATAAAAAGATTGGCCACCAGGCTGCTCCAATTTAGCCATGAAACCTCCCACACTAAAATGAGAGGTGTTTCAGTTTCATTGTCCAACCCCTGTAGATTGCAATGGAATGAATGTATTATGGGGGGGGGGGGAGTCTATATTTTATTGTATACATTTTTAATGCTGATAGCAACCACTTTTGACTCCAATAAAAAGCTATCTTAAATTGTAAATTTAATGCTACTATTTGAAATGGAAATATTGCCATCACCAGATCTTACCTGATATATAAATGTGCCAAAACCTAGGGTTCCTTTAAAATGTAACAATAGAATATTGTTCATGGAGATAAAGGTAGTAGCACGAAGAGCAAAAGGTGGGTTAATTTTAGAAGAAGACATTCAAGATGAAAATGCATAGATTACATTATATTAATTAGAATTTGGTATAGTGTAGACTAACTTCTTTTTGCTTCAACAGGAGCTGACATCACCTCGCTTGATAAAAAGCCATCTTCCCTACCGATTTCTTCCAACAGCCATGCACAATGGAGAGGCTAAGGTCAGTGGCTTTGAGCAAATTATAGATTCCTGAGAACTGGTCATATGCTTGTTGGTATGCCAAAGGAAACTGATTCTGTACCTTAACATCACCAAGGAAGTTGCAATGACACACCTATGTATGAAATACTTATTTGAGGTAAATTAAATGTTTAAGCATTTCTTTTTAAAGATTTTTTTGGCTCTAGTGGCCTTTAATGACAGTAGCTTGACAGGAAAGGGGGCAGAGATAGAGAGGGGGAGACCTGCAGGAAAGAGCCATGGGCTGAAATCGAACCCAAGGCGCCCGCCTGCGAGCAGAGGCTCTGCATATGGTCCACCCGCTGTACCCATTAGGCTACAGCTGCGACCCAAATGTTTAAGCATTTCTTTGAGCCAAATATGAAAATCAGCACAATGAATGTCCACAACAAAAATTAAAACAGGATGTCTCAATTCAGAAAAAAGGCAGTTCCTGGAATTGTGTGCCTGTCTTTGTGACTATCTTAAATTTTTTATTTAAAAATCTATAAACGTTGTGTCATGGGGTTCTTTTCATAAAGTATAAGCCTTCTCAAAAAAAGTTTAAAAATTCAGAAAACCCCAACCATAGAGTCCACAAACAGAAATAGTTTATCAAACAAGATATCACCCCATCATAAGAGGGAAAAACATTACCGCTACAAAATACCACATATAGTTTAGACAAAAATCATTTAGAGTGGCACGGTGGTGTGGTGGTTAGCACTTTCACCTCCCAGCAAGAAGGTTCTGGGTTCAAGTCCCAGGGGACCCAGGACCTTTCTGGGTGGAGTTTCCATGTTCTCCCTGTGTCTGAGTGGGTTTTCTCCAGCTTCCTCCCACAGTCCAAAAACCTGCATGTTAAGTTGAATGCACATTCCAAATTGCCCTTAGGAGTGGTTGTGTGTCTTCCATCCAACGATAATGGATGGAAGAATAATTTATATATCTATAGTGCAAAAAGTTTGATAGTGAACAAAAGAAAAACAAAACATCTACATTTGAGGTTCCACAATGCTGTTTATAGGCAATGTGTTAACCAGGCAGTTGCGGACATGGTGAATGAATCTTGGAGAGAGAATTGAGCTTCCTAAATTCTTTGCAAAACCAGATGGAACCATTCTTTAAGAAAAGATGATGACACCTAGAATACACTACTCTGAATTAACAGGCATAAATCACGTCTCAACATCTCCCATCCATTCTTACCTCAATAAATATGTTAACAAAAGTGGTTTATGTAGTGTAGCTGACAGATAAAACCCTTTGGAAAACAATGTTTAAGATTAAAGTAGTGTTCGTGTATACACATACAGGGGAATAGGGGGATATCAGGCCAGAGAGTGAGCGAGACAGAAACATCTCGGACAAACTGTCAGAAATTGAGCAGAACATGAGCCTCTCTGGTGTGCTACAAGACTTCGGGCAGTATGGAAGCCTTTCTGGCAGTCAACAACACTTCAGGTATTGGGACCCAAAGGAGGCAGGGACCAGAACTGAGGCTAAACTCCCCAGAGCACCCACGTAAACAGGATTTGGAACCAGTGGAGAGTTCATCACGGTTCGATCTGGAAAAAGATAACGTAGAAGTGTGCTGCCATGGGCTCTCACAGAGATTGTGACAAAAACAAGTTCTATGAAAATTCCCCTGAACTTTAATAGAGACAAGTGCTGTCTCTTTTAAAAATTTTCAATAATATATCCTCACTTCATTTAATCAACACAGGGGTTAAAAAGCAGGGGTTTAAAAAAGGAAGAAAGGTACAGCTCAAAATCAACACAGTAATTTTGCAAAAAATAAAGTCACCTTGGTTTAACTCCCCCAATAAACCAGCACGGCACTGGGCTTTTCCCCCCATTTTTTAAAACTATCATCTGTGAAGTGTACATGGCAAATGCAAACATGTTTCCAATTATGTTGCTGTCTCTAGATGACAAAGGTCCACATCTATATTTAAGAATATCTGCAACAAAATCAGCAGTGTTCTGAAAGGTACCAGTTTAAATTCTTTGTTAATTATCAAATAAAATTAATAAAGGATATCACATTTTATTTGAGTGAGAAGTAAACAATAATTTGATTTTTCCAAAGAGGAAAGAAGACTTTTCTATTTGAGACTGCAAAATATATGTGTTCTGCTTATGACCTGTGTGACCTGTGTTTCATTATAAATCTGCAGATAAGCCTGAAAACATGGAAAACCATAGGACATAAGAAGGCCTTGACCTAGAACTGAATAATTTAGGATATTTCAGGAATGTATCTTTAGATGTATTTATTTTAGTACTAGTTACTGTAACTTCACCATTTTGAACATATTAAATCTAAAAGGACTGAAGAACACAAAGCTATTAATCTTGCATCTCTGAGTATAATTTGGCTGTTCCCCAGGTGATATATATGGCCAGAAATCCTAAGGACTTAGTAGTGTCTTACTACCAATTCCATCGCTCCCTAAGGACCATGAGCTATCGAGGTACCTTTCAAGAGTTTTGCCAGCGCTTCATGAATGACAAATGTAAGTTTGTAATTTAGTGGAAGATTGGGGCTTTGCTTTATATAACTGTAAAAACCATTCAGTACAACTCTCATTCTCTGTGTATTTATTACTTTTTTCACAGTAGGATATGGTTCCTGGTTTGAACATGTTCAAGAATTTTGGGATCATCGTATGGACTCTAATATTCTTTTTTTGAAATATGAAGACATGTACAAGGTAATGTCTCCTTTTCTTGATGTGATTGCATACTGACAATATCCATGTATGTTTAATCTTTATTGCCTATTTAATTATCTTGACAATATGTTACCATAAATGTTCTGTTGTGATGAAAATAGGGTCAGCAATTTTAATTAAAAATCCATCTTCTAATATTGCAGTACTTCCCAATTTGTGGGACAATGCCAGGGGAAAAGGGGCACATCTAACCTAAAGGAACATATTTCTTTTTTGGCCCAAAGACCTTTTTTGATGGATATCTTAAATGGATCTTGTGTTCCCTCGACGTGGGCCACTGGAGGCCCCACCCTAGAGCCAGGCCTGGAGTGGGGGCATGTTGGGGAACACCTGGTTGCAGGGCTTTCACCTATGGAGCCTTGTTGGGGGGTCACCACCATGGGAGGGGCCAAAAGGGTTGGGTGCTGTAGTGGCCGGATTGTCCATAACAAATACTTTCCACTGATCACCTGGTGGTGAGTTGGCTCCGATGGTGTGATAGGATGCTGTTGAGGCCGGGCAGGCCTAAATGCATTTGTTAGAGCCTTAAGCCCAACCTCCGGGAGATCTTTGATCACGTTCCAAAGGAGGTGGGGGACATTAAGTCCGAATGGGCTATGTTCCGTCCCTCAATTGTCGAGGTGGCTGCCCGGAGCTGCGGTCACAGTATTGTTAGTGCCTATCATGGTGGAAATCCTTGAACCTGCTGGTGGACACCGGCGGTTAGGGATACCGTCAGGCTGAAGAAGGAGTCCTATCAGGCCTTCCTAGCCTGTGGGACTCCAGAGGCAGCTGATGGGTATCAGCAGTCCAAGTGGCATGCATTCCCCATGCATGCCAACTTGGGCATGGGAAGAGTTTGGGGAGAATCAAACCCAAGAATTCCACTCTTAAGCCTCCCTGGCAAAGTCTATTCAGTGGTTCTGGACAGGAGGGTCTGTCAGATAGCTGAACCTCAGACTCAGGAAGAGCAGTGTGGTTTTTTTCCTAGCCATGGAACGCTGGACAAGCTGTATACCCTCAGCAGGGTCATGGAGGGTGCATGGGAGTCTGCCCAACTAGTCCACATGTGTTTTGTGGATTTGGAGAAGGTGTTCGACCGTGTCTCTCAGGGAAACTTATGGGGGTGCTTCGGGGGTATGGCATATAAGGCCCTTTGTTACGGGCTGTTAATTCTGTTCATGACTTTTATGGACAGACTTTTTTAGGCGCTGCCAAGGTTTTTAAGGTTCTCTGTCTTGGTGGCCTTAGGATTGCATATCTGCTTTTCGCAGATTATATTGTCCTTTTGGCTTTATCAAGCCATAATCTACAGCTCTTGCTGGAGTGGTTCGCAGCTGAGTGTGAAGCAGTTGGGCTGAGGATCCAAGTCCAAGACCATGATCTCTCATCAGAAAAGGGTAGAATGCCTCCTCCGGGTCAGGGTGGATGTCCTTCCCCAAATGAAAGGGTTCAAGTACCTTGGGGTCTTGTTCATGAACAGGTATGAAATGGAGCAGGATACCGACAGGCAGATGGTGCAGCATTGGTGATGGTAGTAATGCGGGCGCTGTACTGGTCTGTCATGAAGAAGAGAGAGCTGAGCTTAAAAGTGAGGCTCTCAATTTATTGGTCGATCTAAACTTATCATCTATCTACATAGCTAAACTTTCCTGGGGTTACAAGTTTCAACCCTTTGTATATTGTTTGCGTGAGTGGACTAACATTAGCTTGTAAGTTAATGCGTGACACCCCACCACCTGGTTGACAAGCTACCTGGCTTTACAACCTCAATTCAGCTGTTATTGGCCATAATGTGACAGAGCAGGCTTCTTGTCTGGTCTGCTCTTGCCTGGGCTTTCATGTCTCTCCTCCACTACCCCATGTCTGGTCTGCTCCAGTACAGTGCAGCTGAGCTCTGCTGTCCCCTGTTTGAGCCTCCATCTGAAACAGTGCCTTCACCTGGAAACTGCCCCCCTCCCTTGTCGGAGGTATATCTACCAGGGTCCTAACCGGAATCTCCATCTCGACAACTCAAAAGCAATAATCAATCAAATATGCTAACACCACCTTCAACTTCAGTCTACTTAACATCCGCTCACTGACGAGCAAGGGACATCTCATCCAGGATATCCTCATTGACCGTAATCTTGACTTTCTCTGTCTAACTGAAACTTAGCAACAACTCAACGACTTTTCAATTCAATTCAATATTATTTATGTAGGGCCAAATCACAACAGTTATCTCTAAGCGCTTTCCAAAAAGAGCAAGTCAGACCGTACTCTGAAGTTGAACCATGGGTCAGGGTGGTCTGCCTTGACCGGTTGACAACTCAATGAGCCAATTCCTCATGGGTTTGTACACACCTGGAAACCTCGTGGCTTAAGTTGTGGAGGTGGTCTCGCAATAATTAACTGCAAAACGTGGAAATCCAGCCTGTGTCCATGTCAACCTTCATCTCACTGGAAAGCATAGCGTGTCTACTGTATGGCCCCACTACCACCATCACCGCTAGTATTCCGTTCCTCTAAGCCACACACTGACTTCTTAAATTAGTTTAATGTGTTACTCACCCATCAATCAATGTAATATCGCTTTGGGACTTCAACATACATATGGACAAGAGTAATCCACTTCTCAACAGAAAATTTTCATGATGCTATGAGACCTCTGGTTTACATCAATTTGCAATTTTTCCCCCTCATACTAAAGGTCACACTCTGGGCTCTCTGTTTCTCTATCACCAGGACGCCACGCCTCTTCTCATTTGGAATATTAAGGACATTAGCATGGATAAACTCTCCGCCTCTGTCAACAACATATTGATTCAACGCCACCTTTCCACCACAGATGATCTGGTCATTCAGTACAACAACAGGCTAAACAACAGTCTTAACCGTCTTGCCCAGTGAAAACCTGGTCTGTCGCTTTTCACAAACTCCTCCCTGGTTTACCCTGAAACTGCAGTCCATAAAAATAAAAGATTAACAGCTTCAGCAACCACAGAAAAATTGGTCTCACTGTCCATAATAAAATGCACAAAGCTCACATATAACATTACAAGGATTTCTATTACTCAAAGCAAATTCTCTGGTCTCACCCACTCAAAAACCCTGTTCTCCCTGCTTAATAAAATTCTCCAAACACCTGACTGCCTACCTGCCCACCTGTACTCAACCGACACATGGTATTGCTGTTTTTCAGTGAGAAAATCCACCACAATCTCAACTCCAACTCTCTGGCTCTTTTCACCTCTGAACTCTTCCCCTTCTGCCAGCTGTTCTCCAGTTTTCAACTCCAGCCTCCTTCAGAAAACGCTAACCTCATCCGTAAATCCAAGCCCTCCACGTGTCAGCTGTCAGGGTCGGGGATTGATCCCGGGTCTCCCAGGTGGCAGGCGGGAAGCAATCTCCTGACCCACGGAGGCCTAGACAGTGACTCAAGCGCAGGCAAGTGTGAACGAGGAAAAGAGTTTATTTACAAAAATAATCAAACGCTCAGAAGTTTCCAATAGAAGGTAAAAAGTCCAGAACACAGGTAGTTAGATCTCAAAAACAAAATACGTCCAAAAGGTAAGTACTTCCACAAGGGCAAACAGATATAAGACCCAAAGAACAAAAAGAGACTTGAGGCAAAAGAGCAAGAAGTGTACGAGACTTACTGGGGAACCAACGAAGACTCAACAAGGAGGGCAACAGAACACCGGGTTTAAATACTCTAACTTAACGAGGCAATCACATGACAATAATAGGGAACAGGTGGTGGAGACAGACAACAAAAGGAAGAGGGACTTTGGCGACATCAGGTGGTGAGACAAAGGGACCCAGATTATGACATCAGCTTGATCTTCATCCTGCAACTAAAATCAAATCCTGCCTCCCCTTTCTGCTCCCCTCATATTTGCCATCATCCATTCCTCACTTAGCATTGGGATGGTTGATTTACTCTTTAAAGGTGCAGCTGTCACCCCAGTACTGAAAAACCTGGTTGAGACCTCAGTAACTACAATAGCCTTCTACCTTTTCTAATCTATCATTATTTTACAAATTTCTTGAAAAAGTTGTTACTACTCAAATTCACTCCCACCTGTCCCACACCACCCTATGAATATTTCTGGTATGGTTTCCGCCCCCGCCACGGTACACAAACGACTCTCATAAACATAACTGATGACCTCCTCCTGGCTGCGGACTCTGGTTTACTCACAATTCTCATCCTTCTGGGCCTTATTGCAGCCTTTTAAGTGTGACAGGGGAGGGCTAGGGTTCCTCTCTTCCTCATTTACCTCTTTCCCCCCATTCCGTAAATTCAATATTCAGGTTCACTGCTACGCAGATTACAACCAGCTCTATATTTGCAGCAAATTAACTTCCACTCTCCCTTCCCTTTGCTTATCTGAAATAAAATCCTGGTTCACCTCAAACTTTCTAAAACTGAAATCATCTTCATAAGAACATAATTCACATTATCCCTCAGCTCCCATAATATGACCACCCTGGTTCACAGCCTTGTCACCTCCCATATCAACTACTGTATCTCTCTTCTTTTTGGCCTTTCCCACAAATCCCCTCCATAAGCTTCAATTGGTCCAGAACCTCGCTGCTCGTATCATCACTAAAACCCCATCATTTTGCCACATTACCCTAGCACTTCAGCCATTTACTGGCTCCTGGTAAAATTAAGAGTTTATGTTTAAATTATTCTGCACACTTTCAAGACCATCGATAATCTTGCCCCTCCTTATTTTTTAGATCTTCTCCATATTAATACTTTTCCCGGTCCCTCAGATCCTGCTCCGTCCACTCCACTGTACCCACCCTCAGTACTATTGGGAGTATGGCCTTCAGTCCCTCTGCCTTAGTTGGGCGACACAACCAATGATGATTAACTGAGGGCATAGCCAGGTATAAGAAGCCAGTGCAGCTGCTGTGCTTAGCTCTGCATTACAAAAAGGGTGAAGTTGAAATGAGGAAGTGTGACCAGGGCTGCTTTAGAAGTCTGCCTACCATAATCTTCTTTTAAACTTAAAAAGGTATGTTTTGGTTATAGAGGGTAGTTAAATGTTTTTCAGTCAGTAATAATATAAACAAATACAAGGCCACACAGGGCCAACTCACCTAAGATGGCTGCCTGGTTTCAGAAGGGCTCATGGAAGCAATTCCCTCCAACTATATACACTTCTCTTCAGGGATTTCTTCTTTGTCTCTCCCAGTATTTATCCCAAGTGCCGCTTTCTCCTAGCTTTTGCTTCAACCGCCATCGTGCTGCCAGGTGCCGTCATGGATCATGAGGTGCACTAAGGTGCTGTTGCCAGCTGGTGTAAAACTGTATTACTGTAAGTAATAAATTGAACATATAAATCCAACCAATTGAGGCTTATAATTAAATTGACAGATGAAAACGAAGGGAATCATATCTATAATTTTAGTTTGTTTTCTGAACACAAAATCTAGTTTCAGTTAATAATTTTTCTCACTTCTGTTTTTCTTTATTTCAGTAAACAAAATTGTTTTTAAAATTTTAGTTTTCATGACTGATAATAACCTGGATACCAAGACTTGAGCTGACAGCCGCTCTTTTTTACTGTAGGCAACATGTCAAAAGATGAGCTTGGATGGACACAGATAGGTTAATATTTCTGGATGGCCCCTATGGTAGTTTTATGTGGGATTAATAATGAAGCACAACCTTTTCACACATTTGTTGCCAGCAAATTTAAAAGATTAATGATCAACAGGTCCCCCAGCAGTGGAGATACGTCTCTTCTGAGCAAAATCCAGAAGACATCGCCTCCAGAGGTTCAAGTTCAAATGAGCTCATTACATCAGAGTGGTTCAAAGGGCCACAGTTTCTGTGAAAAAAAAATCCATCCATCAGTTAACATGAACATTTGTAACCTTTGATATTCAGAGGTTAAAAAGGTTTGTGCACTAAACACACTCAAAGTAGAGATTAAAGGTTTATCAGAAAAGTTAAAGTGTGACCTACCGGCCTCCTCTGACGTTCTCTGGAGATGCTCCAAAAGCGCCTGGGCCTCAGACCCTTCAACAACGCTCTCCTCACTTCCTCAGGGACTGAAGAGGATAGGTTTTACCCAAAAACTCACAGACAGAGGTGGGACGACATCATCTTAGGTGCTTAGGTCTTCAATTACTGAAAAATATTGGGAGCTAATTTACATGCAAGACCAGAGGTGGGGGCTTGTGCATTTATATCAATAAAGCTTGGTGCTACTACTGAGAGACAAAAGTTGCCTAATGTGGAGTTTGGTTAATCTCCCCAGAAAACTCACTTCCATCATACTCACTACAGTATATAACCCATGCTAATGCTACAGTGTCTATGGAAGAACTTCATGTAACCATTAGCAAACACCAGAAAAAACATCCTGAGGCTGCTTTTATTAATGTTTGTGACTTCAGCCACTTAAATTTGAAGAAAGCTCTCCCCAGATTTCAACAACCTGACTCCTGTTACACTGGAGGGGACAGAACTTTGGATCATGTTTACTCCAAACGGGCTGGAGCATACAAAACAACACCAGTCCCGCATATCAAACAAGTGGACCATCTTTCCCTTCTCCTCATATCCCAATATTAGCACTTATCCATCGTATGAAACTTATAGTGAATACAATCCTCTTCTTCCGCCTCTCAGCAAGTGCAGACGTGTTTCTCTCTGCTCCCTCCCCTGTCCTTTTTGCCTGCTTGCTATCTTTGTCCTGTCATACTTCAGATTCTCTTTCATCATTTTCACTTCCTTAAGCCTAACATCAACTGACCGACTTCTACCAGGGCTTGGAATAGACTAAATTTCCTCTGATGCGACGCCAAGCCAAAAGAATGTTCAGCCACATCTGTGATATCCTTTGCATCTCAACCCCCAAACTTACTCCTGACCTGTCAGCCATCCTTCAGTCCAATGCGCAGCAGCACTGGTCCCATTAAGTGCAACGCTGTTCCTATTGTGGGTGAGTTCAAATAATCAAATCTGTGCCAAGCTCAGAAGTCCAACAACAAAACACCACTCGGGCTCAAGCTGGGGGGGCCATTCCTCCCAACCAGGTCTCACTGTCATTGCCCACGTCAGCAATAAAGTCCCCCAGCAGAATAAGGGAGTGCCCAGGGGGGGCACCCTCCAGCACCCCCTCCAAGGACTCCAAAAAGGGTGGGTACTCTGCACTGCTTTTAGGTGCATAAGCACCAACAACAGTCAGCACTCGTCCCCCCACCCGAAGGCAAAGGGAGGCTACCCTTTCGTTCACAGGGGTAAACCCCAACGTTCAGGTACGAAGATGGGGGGCAACAGGTATGCCCACTCCTGTTCGGCGCCTCTCACCGAAGGCAACTCCAGAGTAGAAGAGCCTCCTACCCCTCTCAAGAAGGCTGGTTCCAGAGCCAGAACTGTGCGTCGGGACGAGACGACTATGCCCAGCCGGAATCTCTCCGCCTCGCACACCAACTTCTCTCATTCCCCACCAGAGAGGTGACATTCCATGTCCCTAGAGCCAGCTTCTACAGCCGGGGATCGGTTTGCCAAGGCCCCCGACTCCGGCTGCCACCCGTTCCACAGACTCCCTGATCTCCCTTCTTATGAGTGGTAAATTTAGGAAGATCATGGTCATGATCTTATGCGAGTAGCCCTGAGACAGGGTGACTAAATATTAGGCATCTGGTGCTCTGTTGGATGTTCCTCATTGTCTTTACTATCCTTAGCTGGTGCAGCTACCAGGAGCTCACATGTCACCTGAGAAAACGGAGGATCTTTACTGTGAATTCTGTAGAAGCGTAATTATTTCTTCATGTACTCTAACAGCAAAATGCCTGTCTCTTTAGTAGGTAGAGGGTTATGCACAAGGTTAATTTATAGTACTTTCCTGAGTATTGCATCTTTTATGTGTTGTTGAAGGCTCAGTCGCCTGTCTTTTTCCACCTTAGTGTCGAAGAAGGTGAGCAAGAAGGTAAACAAATCAGCAAGCTCTCCATGGGGCTCAGAACACCAAAAATGTCTAATTTCAGGTGTAAAAGGGGCATATATCGGTTGTATTGTACATTAGTGCTTAATCCTCTTGAAGATGTTACACCTTTTTTCCTTTATTTTCCTTTTTTTTCCCTCTAGGACCTCGGGACAATGGTTGAACAATTAGCCAGATTCTTGGGTGTCACGTGTGACAAATTTCAGAGGGAGAGTATGGTGGAGAGCTGCAACCAGCTGATTGATCAATGTTGCAACTCAGAGGCACTGTCCATCTGCAGGGGTAAGTGGAAGGGGAAGTACAAGAAACAAATTAAATATCCATATCCCTCTCTCCACCTATTCTCATTCACAGGTCTTCATTCACGAAATATATTTTGAACTAGTTGAGAAATGAAAATCTCCTTTTAGTTCAAGTTTAATCTTCAGTTCAGTTGGCATATTTCATTATTTCAATTTGTAATTGGCTCATAATTATGGAGAGCATTCTCTTAGAAACTTCTTGCTGTTAAAAATGTCTTCTGATTGGTCAAACTACTGAAGGTTTAACATGGCCTATATACATTCACAGACATATTTAAAAAAACAAGAGAGCTGTTCTGTTATCAATGCGCAGCATGCATGTATTAACAGGCATCTAAATGCTTCACTCCAAACAAGACTCTGGGTATCATCTTTGTGCCAGTACATGGCAGTACTGCAGTTTTTGATATTCTTATTTAGATTAAATATGATTAAATCAGTTATTTTGAACAAATCAAATCCTAATTTTTTACTGACACTGAACTATATGCACTAAACTGAACACTCCCCGCCTGGTGTTACTTGACGTCACTCTCTTATACACACAAAACAACTTTCTTATCAGTCTTTATGGCTCACGAGGAACTATAACTGTTATCTGTGGGATGGGCCTGGTTGTTAGATTTGGTTCTTTAGTTGGAAGCCTGAGAATAAACCAGAGTAGATCAAGAGTACAAATATGATATTTATTGGTCACAAGCAAAGTACATCAGCGCTGGGCTCTCACAGACAAAGTTCCCGGAGGATCTCAGTTGGCAAGAGCCTCGATCTCCGGCTGCGATGGGCAGTTATCCTCTGGGCCGGGCCTCGAAGAGGAAGGATGGCTGGGCGTAACCGAGCATCATTGGCCAGTTAGTTTGGTCATGTACAGGCCAGAGGCTCTTAATTCATGCAGGTTTCAGTGAAATATGTTAAGAAAGTGTGTGTGTATGTTGACCTTGAAGACGTGTATTTACTGTACGGAGGGAGAAGGAGGAGTAGTAGGCACAGTCAGAGAGTTTAACACAAAAGTAGAATTCCAAAGGGAATTATATGAATCTAAAAGGAATAATACAATCAGTCATTTACATGGATTAAGGTGTAGCATGCTATGCTAAAGCGAGTCATTATAGCCCAATTCTAACATGGTAAAGAGCTTGGTTCCATGTGGCCCAGCGATTCTTATCTCCACAGTGCGTACCTTACTATCAGTGCTGGGAAACACCTTGGTCACAAATCTAAGCAGCCACTTGTTTCTTGGAAACTTTAAGAACAACAGTCCTTGTTGTTTGTTTTTTGTCTGATCTGTTGGAACTTTGCATGCTTCGCAGAGTATAGCATTACTCAAAGCCATTCTGTGGCCTGTAAACATCTCTATGTGTGAGTGTGCTGCTCACACTTACTCTGATGACCTTGGTGCTTGTGGCAACACATGTGAATGCTGCAGCTACACATGCTGCATTGCTACTCCGTGCCTCCACTACTCCTTCTCTTCACACTAATTTATATGTCATGCAAAGCTTTACCTCTGCTGAGGAGGAACGAGTTTGGACCTCTGCAGGTGGAACACATACCAAAAGTGTTCAGGTGGGGCCTGATGGCAAACACTGTCTCCTAAATGTTTCATCCCATATTGTGCTAGGTTGACACATGGGTTTAACCACGTGTCAAATGGGGAATTTTAAGATAATCTTAAATGCACACAAAGCTAAACATGTTACAAAATATTTTAGTTCTTATGCACAGAAATATTCAGTTATGTAGGATTTGTGCCAATTAACACACAGGTAAGGTCACTCAAAATTACAGGGCCTTTCCAACATTTCAAATTGGGTTTTACTGAACTCACACCAGCTGAATGGAAAGATATGCACTTGGTATTGGATATATTCAGTAAATGGGTCGAAATTTCATCAAATAGAAACTAAATCATCTTCAGAATGATTAACCAGTCTTCTTGCACAAGGAATGATGCAACAAAACAAACCTAAGACATCTCCAACCATGATATCTATGAGGAGGGCAACAACAGCTGATTACGACTTACCAAAAATAAAATTAAGCTGACCTGTGAGAAAGGTAACTATCCCTGAGTTTTCTGCCAAAACTCAGTGATCATAACCCACCCAGAGCTCTGGTCATGGAACCATCTGAAGCACTATTGTTGGGTATGAAAGTACAACAGGAGTCCCCCACTAGACAGTGACTCCTCCATGCTCAGCCAGAAATACATCTACAGCCATCTTTTTCTGTCAAGCCAAGTGGGTTCTAACTGCTCTTTCAAACCTTCAATTGCACCATAGAAGTAGTTGACAAACCTTTTTTGGTTATAGAAAAGATCATTTATCCAGTCAACATTTTTATCGACAGTGGGCCACAAAAAAAATGGATTTGAAACTGTTATTTGGTTTCTGGCCTTATATTAATCCAGAACTCCTCTGGGAACTGGAAAAGTATCCAAGGATACCTTGTTGTCTAAACAACACCAATGCGCCTCTTACTTACCTGAAATCCAGGCTGTTCTCTCTGCAACTTTGACAGCTGTGTGAGTGGTCTGAGGGAGTGCAGATGTGTGGCAGCTCAGGCTGGAGGTGCTGCTTGCACTGTTGGTGAAACTTGAGAAAGAACAGTGGAGAGGTTTCGACAATAAAACAACTTTGCATCACTTAAAAACAGCTGGATGGGAGGGGTTTGGTTACAGGTCCCATTCCAAGGTTTGGAGGTCTTCTGAACAACATTTCAAATGGACTCAAGCGTTCTTTTCCTCATCCACTGCTGAACAGGTCCACCATGACAAGTGCATATCTTTTCCCCTTCAGTGGGTTTGAGTTTGATAAAGTTCATCATAAAGTGTTCAATAGGTCATTTTTGGTGCTTTGGCACTGTGTATGGCACAAATCATGCATGCCTGATAATATCCTTGTGTGTAGGAACTCAATCTTTTTGTGAACCAATGAGCAGTGAGCGCCTCCAACATACTCCCGTGGTCCAATCCACGTATCAATTACGCTTAGTGGGGAAAGAAAGGCTTGGGAAGACATTGTTTTCCATTTGGTCCCAGCCACACTACTTTTGTGTGCAGCTTCAAAGGCATTTTTTCTTCTCAGTGGGTGTGGGATCTTTCTGCAGGAAAGGTGAGGTGACATAAGCACATTCTTTTGCAGCCTGTTTAGCTGCAGCATCGGTTCTGGTGTTGCCACAGAACCTTCCGAGTTGATGTGTGCTGCACATTTGCAGGCTGAAATGTGTGAAGGCAAAAGAATTGCTTCCAGCAGTGCAGTCTGAGAATCATTTAAAATAGGTTTCCCGTCTGATTTAAGGAAATGCCTGTGTTTCCACAGGGCACCAAAGTCATGAACAAGGCCAAAATAGTATCTGTAGTTAGTGTAAACGGTGACAGACTTACCACTTTACATGCCTCAGTCCGAGCAACCAGTTTCGCTATTTGAGCTGAAAAATTCCAAGGTGAGAACCAGACACCAAAGTGCCCCAAGAAGAGCAAACTGCAAAGCCCACACAGTTGGTGCCTGTAGCAGGATCGCTTCTTGCAGATCCATGTACAAAGAAAATCATGTCAGGGTTAGAGAGAGGTGTGTCAGACAAATCCGGCCTTAGGGTGCAGAGTTGTTCCAAAGTTGTAGCAAAATCATGTGGTTCCCCGTATTCAGGTGTGGGAAGAAGAGTCACAGGATTGAGAACAGTGCAACGTTTAACTGTGACATTCAGCATGTCAAAAAGTACAGAAGTGTATCTGAGCCAGCCTGCTGCAGAAAGATGTGAAGTTTTATCAATCAATCAATCAATATTTATTTATATAACACTTTACAACAACCAGAGCTGACCAAAGTGCTTTACAGTAATTAAAGCAGATCAAACTATCAAAATATACAAAGACAAATGCAATGGTGAAAGAACACATTTTACAGTGATTTTAAGTGCAAAACGCCATTCTGAACAAATATGTTTTAAGTTTAGCTAAGGCAGGTCAGTGATTGTACGTAGCTCAGTGGGCAGAGAGTTCCACAGTTTAGGTCCTGCCACGGCAAAAGAGCGGTCACCCCACTGCTTGCACCTGGACCGTGGGACCTCCAGCAGATGTTGACCAGCAGAACGCAGTGATCTGCCGAGCTGGTGAAACCTCAGGATTTCACTGATATATGGAGGAGCATAGCCATTAACTGCTCGCAATAAAACATGAGCATTTTAAAGTGAATCATGTACTGTACTGGGAGCCAGTGTAGGGAGTGGAGGACAGGTGTAATGTGGTCATGTTTACGGGTGTTGGTCGGGAATCGGGCAGCTGCATTCTGTACCAGCTGAAGGCGATGGAGGGATAGTCCAAAGTACTTTAGTCCAAAGTACAGAGCATTGCAATAATCCAAACGGGAGCTAACAAAGGCGTGGATGGCTTTTCCGAGGTCACAGCAGATCAGGAAGGGTTTCACCTTAGCAAGAAGGCAAAGCTGAAAAAGCTTGCCTTCACAACCGCATTAACCTGTTGGTCGAACTTTAAACTGGAGTCCAATTTTACACTGAGATTTTCAATCACATTAGAACAATGGGGGGCCAGAGAACCAAAACTAGGTGGCATATGCATATCTGTATTACCAAACAAAATGCACTCTGCCAGAGCTCAATGACAGTAAGACATTTTTGGATAGAGATAATAGCATCTGGAGAGTTTAGCAGGACAGGCAGATAGATTTGCAAGTCATCTGCGTACAGATGAAAAGAGACATTATGTTTGAGGATTTTTGACCCTGATGGCAGCAGGTATAGGGAAAACAAAACAGGGCCCAGAATGGAACCCTGTGGCACACCACAGGTCAAAGGAGCTGACGAGGAGGAAAGTTAATTTATCATAACACTAAAACTTCTTCCTGTTAGGTATGACCTGAACCACTGCAGTACAGGTCCTGGAGCCCCACCTGTTGGGTCAGACGTGAGAGGAGGATGGAATGATCCACTGTATCAAATGCTGCAGTGAGGTCCAACAGCACGAGCAGCACAGGGTCTTGGCATCAAGGGAAAAGCAGGATGTCATTTTGCACTTTCAATAAAGCGGATTCAGTGCTGTGGCGTGTTTTGAAGCCAGATTG